CACTGTGGCTCAAGTGGTAGAGTGCTAGCCTTGAGCTGAAGAGCTGAGGGACAGCGCCCAGGCCCAGAGTTCAGGCCCCACGACTGGACCAAAAAAAAAAAAAAAAAAGACTAGTGCTCTATCACTTGAGCAGTTCCACTTCCACAGCTGCATTTTTGGTTTTTTGGTGGAGAGAAGAGTCTCACAGACTTTCCTGCCCCAGCTTTGAACCATGATTCTCAGGTCTCAGCCTCCTGAACAATTAGGATTACAGGGGTGAGCCATGGGTATCTGGACACTTTTTGCTTTTTTGGTGGTTAATTGGAGACAATAGTCTCACAGATTTTGCTGCTCGGGCTGCCTTTGAACCATGATCCTCAGACCTCAGCCTTCTCAGTAGCTAGATTACAGGCGTAGCCACCGGCGCCTTGTTCACCTCTTTCTTCTTGAAGGAAAGGATGAGCCATAAGAGTCAAGGCTCCAGCCTCTTTGACTTTAGCCTTTGCACGCTGTGTGACCTTGAATAAGTTCCCTGCCTTTCAGTAGTCCCTGATGTCTGTTAGTGTGTGTGCGTGCACGTGTGCATGCATACCTACACCTGCCAGTGCTGGGATTTGAGCTCAGGGCCTGGCCACTGTCCCCCTTTTTTTTTTTTTTGGCTCAAGGCTGATGTTCTGCGTGAGATACATCTCTCTTTCTGGCTTTTTCCTGGTTAATTGAAGATAAAAGTCTCAAGGTTATTCTGCCTGGGCTGGTTTTGAACCTCAGTTCTCAGATCTCAGCCTCCTGAGTAGATAGAATTACAGGTGTATGCCACAAGTGCTCAACTTGGGCCTCAACTCTTTCCAAGGTTTTATTTATTTATTTTAGTTTTGCTGAGTCCGAAACTGGTGCTTGAACTTGCTCTCTGATGCTTGCTTTCACTCACTGGCTGGCATGCTACAAGGTTTTCTTTTCAGTGCTATTATTCTACCATCTGCCAAGTCATGGTTGCTTTAGAAGTATGTCTCTGGTTTTTATGGGGTCTCTCTGGAGTCTGCCAAGACTTGAGAGCCAGGATACTGGGATCCTGGACAACACAAAAGCAGAAATAACATTGGCTGCTTTTTTTAAAAAAAAGTGTCGGGCTCTGTGATCATTAGCAACTCTCAGGCACCTCCTGTGGGCTCAGTATCATTGTTATACTTGAGGAACTGGGGTAACGAAGGTTCAGAGAGGTAAAATCACTTGTCCAAGGGCACACAGTATGTGAGGGAGAGCCAAAGTATTTTGCCAATTCCTGCTGGCTCCTTACTGATCTAGTATTAGGATTTAGCACTGTCTCCTCTGTCTTCCTGACTTGAGTAGCTGTTGTATTTCTGGAGTTCTCCCTGTAGTAGCTCTCTCTTCTCCCTCACTGAATTTTCTCTAGGGCCTTTGCCTTGGACACATCTGCACTAGGAAGAGGCCCATTAGCAGGTGTTTAGAGATAGACTGTCATCTAATTGAGTCTTTCTGTATCCTGAGAACCCAAAGAATAGGAAAAGGAGAGAGGAGAAAGTGGGAACTAGAGTGTGGGTGGGGTGGAGAGGAAGGAGATGAGCCTGACGGGAGCTCCTGAGAGCCAGGAAAGCCTGTGTTGGGCCTCTGTGCACAGAACAGGATGTGCTCTCAGGAAGGCTTGTTGGTGGAGATGGGGAGCTGCCAGGAGAGGCATTCTCAGCTGATGCTCAAGCTGGAAATCTGTGTCATGCCATCATGGGTTCAAATCCAGGTCCTGCACTCCAGTGGAGAATGCCCAGTTCTCTGGATTGTCAGCTTGGCCTAATTCAGCCCCTTTTGGTTTCTAAGGTACCACCTAAATTTCCACATTGGTCTGTATTTTTTTTTTTTGGTCCAGTCGTGGGGCCTGAACTCTGGGTCTGGGCGCTGTCCCTCAGCTCTTCAGCTCAAGGCGAGTGCTCTACCACTTGAACCACAGCGCCACTTCCGGCCTTTTTTTCCCCCTGCTTATGTGGTGCTAAGGAATCGAACCCAGGGCCTCATGCATGCAAGGCAAGCGCTCTACACTGAGCCACCTTCCCAGCCCTGGTCTGTATTTTCTATTTTTCCTTCCTGGAATATTCTCCACCTTTCAGGACTCTACCCAGAGAGGCCTCCTGAATGACCATTTTAAAGGAGCCTTTGTCCTGGTCCCTCCTGATCACCTGTCCCTGGGCTGCCTTTTTCCTAGCTTGTATTACATTATTATACTCACTGTCTGTCTGTCTGTCTGTCTGTCTGTCTGTCTGTCTGTCTGTCTGTCTCTCTCTCTCTCTCTCTCTCTCTGGTGCTGGTACTGGGGCTTGATCTCAGGACCTTGTATCCTCGTCTAGCTTTTTTTGCTCTTAAGGCTAGTGTGCTTCCACTTTCCACTTCCTTCTTTTTGCTGGTTAATTGGAGATAAGAGTTTCTCAAGATTTGTCTGCCCTGGGCTGGCTTCAGCTCTCAGCCTCCTGAGTAGCTAGGATTGCAGGAGTGAGCCACCAGCTCCTGGCTCTTGAGCAAGTTGTTTTTGCTCAGTACTCTGTGCCTAGTACTTGGCCATTAGGCAAGCTGGTTATAAATATTTGTTGAATGTTGAATGGTTTGTTCCTGACTATGGAGGTGTGGTATATAGAGTTCGAGTCTACAAGACTGATGGTGATACTGTTGATTTTTTTTCTTTTCCTTCCTTCCTTCTTTCCTTCCTTCCTTCCTTCCTTCCTTCCTTCCTTCCTTCCTTCCTTCCTTCCTTCCTTCCCTCTCTTTCTTCCTTCCTTCCTTTTCTTTCTTTCTTTTCTTTCTCTCTTTTCTTTCTCTTTCTCTTTCTTTTCTTTTTTCCAGTCTTGGGGCTTGAACTCAGGGCCTGGGCACTATCTTTAAGCCTCTTTGTGCTCAAGGCTAGCGATCTACCACTTGAGCCACAGCACCATTTCTTGCTTTTTTGATTAGTTTATTGGAGATAAGATTCTGAGGAGGACTTTTCTGCCTGGGCTGTCTTCAAACCCTGATCCTTCGATCTCAGCCTCCTGAGTAGCTAGGATTACAGGAGTGAGCCATCAGCACCTGGCTAATACTGTTGATTTTCCTTGTTCTACAGACGCTGCCTTCCCGGTGCCACCAGTGTGTGATTGTCACCAGCTCCAGCCACCTTCTGGGCACCAAACTGGGCCCAGAGATCGAGCGGGCTGAGTGCACCATCCGCATGAATGATGCACCCACCACAGGCTACTCGGCTGATGTAGGCAACAAAACCACCTTCCGAGTGGTGGCTCATTCCAGTGTGTTCCGGGTGCTGCGCAGGCCCCAGGAGTTTGTCAATCGGACCCCTGAAACTGTCTTCATCTTTTGGGGTCCCCCAAGCAAGATGCAGAAGCCCCAAGGCAGTCTCGTGCGTGTCATCCAGCGGGCAGGCCTGGCATTCCCCAACATGGAGGCCTACGCCGTCTCTCCCAACCGCATGCAACAGTTTGACGACCTCTTCCGGGGTGAGACGGGCAAGGACAGGTACCAGCATCATGCCTGCCCCCTCCCTCTCAGACCCTGCCTTATGGCCTGTTGCTTCCAGCATGCACTGCTCTGGGGATGTAATCATTTCTTGTCACATTCTAGTCAGTTTTCCTAAGAAAGTTCTCTTTATGTCCAGCTGTTAAGAGTCATTTCCCATGTCCTGTGCATGGCTTTATCTTCCCTAGACTTTCTCCCAGCATGCATCATCTGAGGGAACTCTAAGGTTATACAGCATCATCTAGCGACTTTCTAGGAAGGCTTTCTATAGCATTGCACCATATGTAAAATCTTGACTCTTCCCAGCATGCCTTGCTTTAAGCACACAGTTACTCCCAGCATGCTGTGTTCTAAAGGTCCATCATCCCAGTATGCCCTTCTTCTCTGACTAGTCTCCCTTGAAAACTTAGATTAGCATGCTCCAATGTAAATTCAATGTGAGCCCATAGGTAATTTAAAATTCATTGTAGCCACATTTAAAAAGTTCTTTTAAAAATTGTTCACTTTGCCAGGTGCTGGTGGCTCACCCCTGTAATCCTAACTACTCAGGAGGCTGAGATCTGAGGATTGAAGTTCAAAGCCAGGCAGAGCAGAAAAGTCCATGAGGCTCTTATCTCCAATTAACCACCAGAAAACCAGAAGTGGCGTTGTGGCTCAAGAGGTAGCGCGCTAGCCTTAAGCTGAAGAGCTCAGGGACAGTACCCAGGCCCAGAGTTCAAGCCCCACAACTGACCAAAAAAAAAAAAAAAAAGTATATTTTACTATATTGCATTTGATACAATATGTTCACCATATAATGTTTTACATATTTTATTAGATTTTGGAGCTATTATATATGATACTGTTTTTATTTTTTGTCAGCTATAGGGCTTGAACTCTGGGCCTGGGCGCTGTCCCTCAGCTCTTCAGCTGAAGGCGAGCGCTCTACCACTTGAGCCACAGTGCCACTTCCAGTTTTCTGGTGGTTAATTGGAGATAAGTTTCACAGACTTTCCTGCCCGGCCTGGCTTTGAATTGCAATCCTCAGATCTCAGCCTCCTGAGTAACTAGGATTACAGGTGTGAGTCACCAGCACTGGCTTGTTTTTATTTTTTAAATAGTGGAAATTTTTTGGTAGGATGAGATTTGAACCTAGGGTCTTGTACTTGTAAGGCAAGTACTCTACCACTTTAGCCATGCTAAAGTTTTTGTTGACCTTGTAACTGCCTAGCTCACTGATAGTTTTTTAAGATATTTTTTGGAAAGTTTTTAATAATCACGTTGAATGCAAATAAGGACAATTTTATTTCTTCTTTCTAAACTATGCCTCTGGTTTCTTTTTTCTTGCCCTATTGCAATGGTGAGGATTTTCAGTACAATGTCAATTGTGTTAGAAGTGGTAACTGTGGACTTCCTGCATTGGTCTTAATGTCACAGGGAAAGCTTTCTTTTTTTTTTTTTGAGTCCAGTCATGGGGCCTGAACTCTGGGCCTGGGCACTGTCCCTCAGCTCTTCAGCTCAAGGCTAGCGCTCTACCACTTGAGCCACAGTGCCACTTCCGGCTTTTTCTTTTTGCTTATGTGGTGCTGAGGAATCGAACCCAGGGCCTCAGGCTTGCAAGGCAAGCGCTCTACCACTGAGCCACCTTCCCAGCCCTCTGTCTCTCATTATTGAAAATGATGTTATCTGCAGGGTTTTGGTGGCTGCCCTTCATCAGGAAGTTTCTCAGGAAGTTCTCCTAGTTTGCTGAGATTTTTTTCCTACTTTAACCATGCCCTAGTATATGGATTTTACGAAGTTGACTTCATCTGAATTGTTACATTTATATACACAGGTTGTTTGAAATTTCCTTTTCCCTTTATCATTTCCTTCTTTCTTTCCTTTTCCTTCCTTCCTTCCTTTCTTTTTCTATTTTTCTTTCTTTTTCTCCTCTTTCTCTTTCTTTCTCTTTCTCTCTCTTTCCTTCTTTTGTGTTGGTCCTGGTGCTTAAACTCAGGGCCTGGATGCTATCCCTGAGCTTTTTTGCTCATGGCTAGAGCTCTACTGTTTGAATCACAGCTCTGCTTTTGCCTTTTTTGTAGTTAGTTGGAGATATCTCACAGACTCTACTGCTCAGGCTGACCTTGAGCCACTCTCTTCAGATCTCAGCCTTCCGAGTAGTTAGGATTACAGACGTGAGCTGCCAGTGCCTAGCATTCCCCTTATTTTCTTTTTTTCTTCCTTTATTTTGTAGTGGTGAAACGGGTGCTTGAACTCAGGGCCTCCTGCTTTCATTTATTTTTTTTTTTTCACATAAAATTGGCATTGTACCACTTGAGTCTCAGCTCTACTTCCAACTTTTTTTTTTGTTGTTGTTGGTCCTGGGGCTTGAACTCTGGGCCTAAGCGCTGTCCCTCAGCTCTTCAGCTCAAAGCTAGCACTCTACCATTTGAGCTGTAGCGCCACTTCCGGTTTTCTAGTAGTTTATTGGAGATAAGAGTCTCACGGACTTTTCTGCTTGGGCTGACTTTGAACCACAATCCTCAGATCTCAGCCTCCTGAGTAGCTAGGATTACAGGCGTGAGCCACCGCGCCCAGCTTACTTCCAACTTTTTGTAGGTTAATTGGATATGAGTCTCTATAATTTGTCTATGCAGGCTGGCTCTGAACCTGGATTCTTGACTCTCAGCCTCTTGAGTAGCTAGGATTACAAGTGTTGAGCTACCTGTCCCTGAAAGAGTTTTTGGGTTTTTTTCCCCCCGCGCGCCCGTGCGCGCGTGTTGCTACTGGGTCTTAAACTCAAAGGGACACTGTCCCTTTGTTTTTTTTTTCACTCAAGGCTGGAGCTCTACCACTTGAGTCACAGTTTCACTTCTTTTTGCTGGTTAATTGGAGATGATAGTCTCTTTGATTTATTTTCCCAGGCTGTCTTTAAATCTTGAGCCTCAGATCTCAGCCTCCTGAGTAGCAAGAATTACAGGCATAAGCCACTGGCACCTGGCTTGGAATTTTCTTATGATCTCTTAAATATCTATAGGTGTTTTCATTCTTTATTCCTGATACTGGTAATTTCTCTCTCTTTTGCCAGTTTTGCTGACAAAGAACATTCCACTACGTAAATGTAAAATATTTTCAGAGACACATAAAATCAACATAAAACATCAATGACATATTCTACATTGTTTTTCTCACACTTCCCAAGAAGCCCAGGGTGTAATTGACACACGTGTCAAGTGCTCCGGCCATCCATGACTGGTGGCATCTGTAGTGGGGCAGGTTCTTGGCTGCTGGCCTACGCCTTGGTTTGTACTGTGCTCCCTCCAGCGCAGCCCTCTCTAATCAATCCTCCCTTTAGGAGTTTGATTCTCTCTCTGGCATAGCGCTTCTCGCATGCTGTGGTCACAGCCACGCCCAGCCTGCCCAGCTGTGACCCAGACCTTATTCCAAGCATGCCTCGCTTCTCCTCTTCCCCTCAAAGGAGCATTCTCCCTGCGCCTCCTCTTTCTGGAAAGCATCCTGCCAGCATGCATACTCCCACAGTGCAAATAGACAGAGGTGACAATGGGTGGGGGGAGGGGGAGGCAGGGTCCTGAAGGGTGGTTAGGAAATTTCTGGGAAACTGGGTGGCTTGGCTATTTTTCCATGCCTGTTCCTCCCCTTGCTGCCCGCATCTCCCTTCATCATGACCCCTTCTGCCCCCAGGGAAAAGTCCCATTCGTGGTTGAGCACAGGCTGGTTTACCTTGGCGATTGCGGTGGAGTTGTGTGATCATGTGCACGTCTATGGCATGGTCCCCCCTGACTACTGCAGGTGAGCCCTCTGGGGAAAGTGCCCCCGGTTGCTGGTTATAGAATGAATTGGAGGAATCAGGGCATCTTGGCTAGAGTGTATTCACAGGTCTCTCTAATGGGGTGTCCATGCTGCTCTTCAGAGATGTGGACTCTGTGAGCTGCGTTAAGGGCCTGTATCCCGAGCTCAGCCTCTTTGGATATTAATAGTTATTTTAGCTGGACACTGATGGTTCATGCCTGTAATCCTAGCTATTCATGAGACTGACCTGTGAGGATTGCAGTTCAAAGCCAGCCCAAGCAGGTTGAGACTCATCTTCAATAAAACTACCAAAAAAAAAAAAACTGGAAGTGGAGCTGTGGCTCAAGTGGTAGAGCACTAGCCTTGGTCAAAAGAAGTTTAGGGACAGTGCCTAGGACCTGAGTGCATGCCCTAAGACCAGCACAAAAAATAAGCCCAGGATCGGCACATACACAAGAAGATTTTTTGTTTTTTATATCCCAGTACTGGGGCGTGAAGTTAAGGATTTGCCCCTTTTGCTTGGCTTTATTTTTTTCCACTCAAGTCTGGCAGTCTACCACTTGAGCCATACCTCAACTTCTAGCTTTTTGCTGATTATTTAGAGATAAGAGTCTCACAGACATTTCTTCTCAGGATTGGCTTCAAACTATGATCCTTGGATCTTAGCCTCCTGAGTAGCTAGGTTTACAGGTGTGAACCACTGGCACCAGCCAATTTTTTTAAAATTAAACAACAGCAAAAAGTTTAGTCATGAACCTATTCCATTCTGCCCATTTTCCAGGTGGAAAAACTGAGGCTCAGGGAGGGGCAGGGATTTCCCCCACTGAGACCCTGTGGTGGGTGAGGGGCTGGAAGGGCCAGAACCCCACTGGTGCTCACCTTGCCCCCTCTGCTGTGCCCCAGCCAGCGGCCCCGCCTGCAGCGCATACCCTACCACTACTATGAGCCCAAGGGGCCAGATGAGTGTGTCACCTACATCCAGAATGAGCACAGCCGCAAGGGCAACCACCACCGCTTCATCACTGAGAAGAGGGTCTTCTCATCTTGGGCGCAACTGTATGGCATCACCTTCTCCCACCCTTCCTGGACCTAGGCTATCTTGCCTGTGGGACCTCGTGAGGGACACTGGAGAAGCCGTTCTGGACCCAGTTCAGAACCATGGCAACTTCTGACCAATCAAGGCCAGAGTACCTCTCAGCCAATCAGGGCCTGGAGGGGTGTGTCCTCCAGCCAATCCTCCAACCTGGGAGATATCTCTTGGCCAATCAGGGAATTGGGATCCTTTGTGGTTAATCAGGGGTGTCAGGTCGTCTTTCTTGTCCAGTCAGGGTCTGAGACTAGTCAATCAGGGTATAGGGGTCTTTCTGAGTCAATCTGAGGCTAAGGATATTTCCTTTCCCATGAGGCCTTGGTTCAGAGCCCCAGGAATGGAATCCAGATCACTCCTTACTTAGCTGGTGTCCTATCCCAAGGAGCTGGGAACTTGGTGTTACACCCTCAGTTCCAGTCATCAAAGAGATGAGAGGGGTGAGTGGATAGAAACTGTCTGGACCAGGCCAGAGAATTTATGGAAGTTGTGGCAGGCCCAAGAAGTAGAAGCCAGTGACAGGGTATTGGCTTCTCCCTAAGTGACCTTGGACAAGCCCCTCCCCAGGCTCACAGCAGGTTCAAATGTGAAGTCTGAGACTTTCTCCCCCTCCACTGACCACCCTGTCCTAAGACTACCCAGCTACCACTCTTCACTAAGATGCTCAGCTACATTGGGAGGCTAGAAAGCCCTTCCTCATTTTCTTCAGGAAGACTTGAGGGCATTTTTTCCCCCACCAACTCCCCAGGGCTGGGAGACAGACAAGAACGGGAAAAACCTTAGTGTGTTTTGTTAGCCTCAGTTCAGCTGCCATTAACTTGCCTCTTAAAGGGACAGGACTCCTTTTCTGCAGGCAGGGTCTCCTGCAGAAAGTCTCTGCAGCCTTTGGAGCGGGGAAAAAAGAGGGTTCTGGCCATACTGGGGTGCCAGGAAGTCTTTGTTTGGAGATGCTGAGGGCTTAGGAATTATCTCTCCCAACCTGGGCCTGGGTGGAGGCTGTTGAGTGGGAGGGATGGAGGTGGAGGCCACCAGCCTGGACTCAACACACAGGCAGGCTATGAGGGCGGTGCCAGGAGTTATCTCTCCCAACTTGGGCCTGGGTGGAGGCTGTTGAGTGGGAGGGATGGAGGTGGAGGCCACCAGCCTGGACTCAACACACAGGCAGGCTATGAGGGTGGTGCCAGCCCTCGACTTGGTTTTGTAATGGTTTGTACAGGAATAAACACACCCAATGAAGCTCCAGCCTTGTGTTCTGTGTGTTGGATGAAGCTTAGCTCTCTCCATCTCAGATTGGGGAAGGTAGGGCTCCGAAGAACCAGGCATGCATCTCTGGGCTGGGAGCTCACAGAGTCGCAGCAATTAGCTTTTTTCAACTTGCTGGTGAGTCTTCAAGCTAAGCCTGACAACTCTGTGGCCTGGCTTTTCTGGCCTCACCTACCTCGCCCTGTCTGTATGACCTTGGGTAAGTCGTCAGTGTTTCTCAATTCTGTGGATAAAACAAGACCAGACACCACCCTCCTGGAGCTCAAGTTCTGGTGAGGGAAGAAGAGCCTGGCATCTGGGAAGGGGTTGGAGGAAGATGTTGGCCTTGGGGGACAGCCTGGGAGAGAGGGAGGGGGAGGCCTGGATCTTGGGAATGAACAAGGAATCGAGTGGCTTCAATTTAGACAGGGCCAGAAGTTCGGCTCTGAGCCTGGGAGCCAGAGGGCAGGGAAAATTTCTGCCAGGGCACACAAGAGGAGTCTGACAAGGGTGTGGTAAATGGTGGCAGCTCATATTGCTGCCAACCTCTACACACAAGGGCTGTGTACCCTGGGCTGGCAGGGGACAAGGGGTCCCTGACTCAGGAGATTACAACTTGTTTAGGCAGATAAGATGTCCTTGGGAAGGAAGCTGAACAAAGGGTAACTTTGTGAGGCAAGCACTGGCTGCCTGCTGGGATCTCTGAGGGGCTGCTGGAGACCAGAAAGAGTTATCCCTGGGCGTCGGGCCAGCCAGGATAATGGGCCACCAGGGCTGGGTCACAAGAATGGCATCTTGCATTTGTCTTCCATTCTGAATGTGCTCTTAGGTAGCTACATGCTACACACCTTGTTAAAAAGGGGATCTGGGCACAGGTAGCTCAGGCCTGTAATCTTAGCTACTCAGGAGGCTGAGAACTGAGGATCAAGGTTCTAAGCCAGCCTGGGCTGAAAAGTCCCTGTGAGACTCCTCTCCAACTAACCACCAAAAAAACAAGAAGTGGTGCTGTGGCTCAAAGTGGTAGAGCATTAGCCTTGAGCAAAAGAGCTCAGGGAGAGTGCCCAGGCTCTGAGGTCAAGCCCCACATCTGACCAAAAAAGGGTGGGGAGGGGCTGTCACCTGGGAGGAATTGTCGGGACAAAAGCTGGGAGGTCGTAGGGCCCAGGGTGTAACTGGCAGGTGGTGATGAGGATGTGGAAGGCGGCACTCTCCGTGCTGGGTCCTGACATGGGTGCCCTGTGAAGGCCTGGAGATAAGGGTATGCTTCCAATTCCATGCAAAGACTTCTGGGAATCTGGACCAGCTCAGATTTCTGGGTAGAATTTCTCCCAGATCACTTGCAGTTCTTCAGTTTGGCCACTGGAGGACACAAGGCCAACGTTTGTAGGGGTCTGGAGCAGTCAGTTTCTGGGTGAGGGCCCTGAAGAAGCTCATCCCGCGGAGTATTAGGGGATGCAGAAGGCAGGAGGCCCAGAGCCTGGTCCTCCACCCCCGTCACCGCTTTAGATGGGACCCTGTGGAGATTGGCTGTTGATCTCCAAAGTTAGTTTTCCTCTCCATAAAGGTAACCCACCTCTCCACAGCCCTCCTTAAGAACCTTCAATCACCTGCCAGGACCAAGCCTACTTCTCAATTGGCAGTTGAAGCCTCCAGCTCTTGAATCTGGGCCTGTACCCGTCACCTGGAGGCGGATCATGATGAGGCCATGCTAATAAGCCAGGCCCACTTAGGACCACCCCACCTTGCATTCTCCCCCCCCCCCACCTCTTATCCCTCCCACCTGTCATTACCCCTCCCCCTCCTGGGCCCAACTTTGAACTTCAGGGTGAAGCAGGCAAGGAACCTTTATCCAGCCTTGAATTCTTCCTTTCACCAAAATTAAGTATTTACTGTGCTGGTACTGGAGCTTGAACTCGGAGCCTCATGCTCCCCTTTAGCTTTTCCCGCTCAATAGTAGCACTCTACCACTTGAGCCCCAGCTCCGCTGCCAGCCTTATTGCTGGTTAATTGGAAATAAGAGGCTCATGGACTTTCCTGCCTGGGCTGGTTTTGAACTGTGCTCCTTAGATCTTAGCCTCTTGGATAGGTCGGATTACAGGTGTGAGCCGCTGACACCTGGATCACACTGTGGGATTTTATTCAAAGTATTTCATCTTGCTGGGCCTCAGTTTCCCCCACCGTCACAGAAGAAGCCCCCTTCAGTGAAGCAAGCACCGTGGAAGTGACAGGAATGGAAAACTAGGTGTGGGTGCACAGCCCCTGGGGACACAGCGAGGTGCCAGTCTTGCCCTGGCTTCCCTCAGGGCTCTGCTTAGTCCAGTCCCCCTTCCCTCCTCTCCCTCCCTCCCTCCCTCTCTCCCTCCCTGCCATCGTGGAGTGCTGGCTCCCAGCATGCCGTGCGCTGACAGCCTTATAAATAGTCGCCTTTGCAGGCGGCTGGTGAGGACGGGCAGGGCACGCACTGGCCCCGGCGCCCACCGCACCCTCCCCCAGGTCAGTGTCTGACTGCCCGACAGCCCATGTGGGTGCCTCGTGGGGGCCATCTGCAGGGAGTGGGGAAGTGCCACTGGGGGGAGGGGCGGGTGTTTGTGTCGGGCTCCCCTTGGGGTGTGTGTGTGTGTGTATCCATAGTTATGATCGATGTGTATTTGTATGTGCTCTCTTGCCTGTGGATTTCGGGTTTTGTGCCACACTGCTGTGCGTTTGTAAATCTCAGAAAGGGAGGGAGGAGAGATGGAGGGGGGGAGAGAGAGAATGATTCTTATAGCCCCTCCCAGCCTTCCAGACCCCTTTGTCCCAGCCTACATTCCTGGGACTCAGGGTCCCTGCTCTTGGCTTGTCCCAGCTAAGGCCCAGGGAAGGGAAGCTGTAGCCTGGCTCCCCACCCCCAGAAGTCCTGGGGTCGTGTGCTTAGAGAGCCTATCTGCCATTACCACTTCAAGTGCTGGAGGAACCAAGGGCCCCCCGCCACCTCCCCCACTTGACTCTTGTCTCAGCCTCCTGGTTGGAGAGGATCCCCTGGGGTCTGTGCTTGGGGCATGGCTGCTCAGCTGCCCACCCCAGACCTCAGCAGCAGCTGAGGCACACAGTTGAGTGGTAGAGGTAGGAGTTGAACCCTAGCTGCTTGCAAGCTCGGCTATTCTTAGGCACTGTGCCAGCCTTGTGTTGTGATTGGGGTCAAGTCACTGTCCTCTGGGCCTCAGTTCCTTAGGCTACCCTGGTGGCTGCCCGGTGAGCCAGGCTCGGCTGTTGGGGCCCTGTCCTGGGGGCCTCATGAGGCCTGGACCTTTGCTTGTAACTCAATTCCATGCTGGACCCCTGGCTCCTGGGAGGAATCCTCAGCACCCAAGTTATTTTGGACCAAGGAAGTGGCAGGTGTCCCCAGGACAGAGAAGGGCTTAGGTTACCAGCAGGGAGCAGCGCACGTCTCAGGGCTTTACTGACTGCCCCTGGCAGTCCCCTGTCTCTGGGTGGCTGAGGGGTTCTTGGCGGCTGGACACCTCCTTCTGCGCACTCAGCAGGACGAAGAGCAATAACTCACACCTTGAGTCAGTGCAGCATTAGCAAAGCTGCAGAAGGCCCTGCTCTGGGCCTGGGCACCAGACCTGAAGCAGCAGAAATGTAGACCTGAGCTTGACCCCTGCCAGGCCCTGGAGCTCCCTTACCCCATCCTCCAAGACTTAGCTCTCTCTCCCAGATTGTGATCAGGATGGAAGGAAGCTTCCAGCTTACACTCAGCCCCAGCCAGGCCCAATCAGGTGGAGGCCCGAGGTGCAGCAGAGTGTCCGAGTCCTTCCTGTCTTGTGCCCAGTGAAGCTTCCGAAGTTCAGAGAGGAGCTGAAGTGTGGCTCAAGGGGAGAGCACCAGCTGAGACAGAGAGAGAGGGAAAGAAAGAGAGGGAGAGACCCTGAGTTCAAATCCCAATCCTGGAACAATTTTTTTTTTCAGAGAAAGGATTAGGCACTCACACCTGCAACCCTCACTACTCAGGAGCTGAGATCTGAGGATCACAGTTCAAAGCCAACCTAGTCAGGAAAGTATTTAAGACACTTCAGTTAACCACCAAAAGTGGAAGTGGAGCTGTGGCTCAAGTAATAGAGTGCTAGCCTTAGATGAAAAGGTTGAAGGTCACTCACCAGGCACTAGCGGCTCATAGTTGTAATCCTTGCTACCCAAGAGGCTGAGATCTGAGGATTACAGTTTGAAGCCAACCTAGACAGGAAAGTCTGTGAGACTTTCTGTTGTTGTTGTTGTTAGTTATGGGGTTTGAACTTAAGACCTGGGCACTGTCCCTGAGATTTTCCCCTCAAGGCCAGTGCTCTACTACTTTGAGCCACAGCACCACTTCTGGCTTTCTGGTAGTTAATTGGAGATAAGAGTCTCCCAGACTTTCCTGCCAGGGCTGGCTTTGAACTGTGATCCTCAGATCTCAGCCTCCTGAGTAGCTAGGAATTATAAGCATGATCCATCAGCACCTGGCTATGAGACTTACGTCCAATTAACTACCAAAAAGTCAGAAGTGGTGCTGTGGTTCAAGTGATAGAGTGCTAGCTTTAAGCACAAAAGCTCAGGGACAGTGCCCAGGCTCTGAATCCAGCCTCCAAGACAAGTACACACACACACACAAAAAATGTTAAGGGGCAGTGCCCAAACCCTGAATTCAAGCCTTACTGCAGACACCAAGAAAAAGAAAAAGGAAGGAAAGAGAGGAAAAGGGAAGGAAGAAGGAAAGAAAAAAGAAAGAGAAGGAAAAAAAGAAAAGAAAGAAAGGAAGGAAGGAAGGAAGGAAGGAAGGACTCAGAGAAGGCGTGCCTATGTGGGAGTG